ACAGGCTTGTTTCTCCCGGTGGCTCAGTCGCTCTCCAATTAAAATTCAGTTTCAGAGTCGCAATCGTTTTAACTTTCGCGATGAGCAGCTTTGGCGAAATGCCAGGCAGAAAGGAGAATGGTCTGCGGGAAGCAGAAAGCACTATGGGGTTGATTACACATGTTACGAAGACACTAAGCTAATCCCTGAATAGGTTATTAATTAATGCCGAGTCAGAGTATTGTGGCGGGCTTGTCTCCTTTCTGCAAATTGAACGTTTTAGGAGCTGAATGTAAAACTCTGCGAGGTCGGATCAGGCACAAAGGCAGCTGTCCCCAGCCGTCCACGGCGGCCGCGGAGGGCGGTATTGGACGGACGATCTGGTGTAGACAATGTCTTCTTGGCTAGCATTTCCACAGTCCACTCCTTTGGGGGGGGGGGGCGTAAAGGTGACGCAGCAGCCGCCTGGGTGGGCTGTGGCTCAGGGGAGCTGCTGGAGCTCCCCAACCCGGAGGGGAGGGTCAGGACCTGTGGCTGAGGGGGATGGTCACAGCCAAGTGCTTTCCACCAGGGATGTCACCGTGAGGTTCCCGAGTGTGAGTCAGCATTTTGCCCCACCCTCCTAATTCCATTCTCACCAGCTCTGATTATCAGAAGCGAAGGTGGCCCTGAGCTGGGGCAGCCAGGGGCAGGTGGCGGGACAGCGGAGGGAAAAGGGGACATCTGTAAGACCTTCCACGTTAAAGGTAAATTCAAAAACAGAAAAGCCAGGTGGCTGGAGCACCCGGACGCAGACGGTGGCAGTGAACTCCCTCCGGCAGGCACACTACCAGGCTGCGGTTAGACCTTGTCCTGTCCAGGGCGGGAGTGGCGGGTGGGGGTGGGGGCGTGATGGGGAGGTGAGGGCAGACCTTCAATGTCTCCCTCTCTCCCTCCCTTCCTCCCTAAGTCAGTACCCCTGCCCTCTGCTGAGGCCTGGGAGGCAGGAGGCAAGGAGGGCTGAGTGGGGGAGTGTGCTCACAAAAAAAATGGAACTTTCGCAGATGCTTTCCAAATGGACAACGGTGCTTCCTGTCTGATCCCGGTGCCTGGGGGCTCCTTGCCCCAAGGCACCGGGATCCTCGGGGCCCAGAGGGAAGGTGGCCATTTCCCTGTTTCTCTCCTCCGCCTCCCTGACCCCCAGGGGTGAGGCTCTCCGGACTGAGACAGCGCAGGGCGTGACTCCCTCTTGGCCACCACAGCCGCGGGTCTGAGCTCCAGGGAGTGTCTCTGTCCCCTCCGGGCTGACTGCCAATCTGCGGACCCCAGCTGGCCTGCAGGCGTGGTGATGAGAGGTTCCGGCATGTACAGAGCACAGGCACGTGTGTGTTCATGTGTGATGACTACATAGCTCTCAGCCACAGCCCAGCGAGATCCATACTGCCATCCCCTCTCACAGTTGAGGAAACTGAGGCACCAAAAAGCTAAGCCACTTGCCTAAGGCTGCATCGCAGCGCGTGTCTGGGCCAGAGTTCCTGACCGGCCGCCCAGGTGCGGGCGTGCGGGGCCTGCCGACGACAGGGGAGGGGACTCGGTGTAGAACAGCAGGCGAGACGGCAACAGGAATTCTGCGTGTGGTCAGCCCAGCGTCGTGCCGTCCTTGACCTCTGGCCATTCAGGGACCAGAGAGGCAGCCGCTGTGTCTGCCGCTCTGGGCCCTGAGCCGGCCCAGCAGAGCGGTGTGGCCGGTGGCAGGGAGGCCTGCAAGGATTCGCTCTGTGGCTCCCCTCTCCCTGTCCTCACCCAGAGGAATGAGGTGTGCCTACACGGGGGCAGCCCCCGACGCCCTTCACAGCTCTGTTTCCCTTCCAGTCCTGTCTGTGCGTCCCTAACCAGCTGAGGTTTCTCTGCAGCCAGACTTTGTCCCGTGCGCGGCCTGTGTTCCGGGAACCTGGGTGTGGCCCTCAGAGACATCAAGCATCTTCTCCCCCAGCCTCCTGGGCCTCCTGACTCGTCCTTAACCAGACGCACCCCAAAGCCACCCACAGGGCTTTGGCAGAAGAGGGGCGTGCCCTCCCCGACCCCAACCAATCCTGGTGGCTCTGTGTGGAGGGGGCGGGGCACCGCTACCAAAAGCTCGGGCCCCAGGCTTCCCTGGGGTTCTCTGGGCCCCACTCAGAGGAGTACTTGTTGTAGGTGGCCCCTCAGGGCCAGGGGTCTCCATCAGGGGCCCGGGAGAAAGGGAAGTGGCTGGGAAGCCATGTTCCCTGAGCAGTGTGCCCACACCTGGGTGCGGTGGGCAGCGGCACAGCGAAGTTCCCGCGGTGGACGGGACTCTCCTGAGCAGGGACAGTCACCTGTGCGGCTGTAAGCCGTGCCGCTAGGTGGGCCCCTGCAGGAAGTATCCAGGACAGTGAAGGAACGAGTGTCTAACTCCTGGCTGCTCGGCTGCGGGTCCCACAGCACACAGGACCCCACTGAGAAGTCTCTCAATGACAGACGCTCTCACACGGCCGTGACGCAGGACACACCACCCCTCAGTCAGGTCCCCAGGCTGCCTCTGGCCGGGAGGAAGAACAGCAGCAGGGCCTCCCAACATGGCCCAGAGCCTCAGCCACCCGAGCCCCCCTGGTCCCTGTGAGGTCACGGCCCGCCAAGTGGCCAGGCCTCCGCCCGCTGCCTGCCCCTTCCCCTGTGGCTTGTTCCGGTTGTGCGGCCGTGGTCCTGGCACCCACTCTGCTTTCTTAGCATGAGGTCAGTCCCTCAGTGGCCATTCTGTCACTAGGGGCGCACAGAGCTGGTTCACCACAATAAACGCCAATGTCAGTCCCTGAGATTGTTCCCGGACGGCCCCGGGCCCAGCCTGCATGCCATGTGTGGGTCCTTGACTTCATGCAGGAAAGATCTGACAACTTGAGCCCAGGAGGGTTGTTTATTAAAGCTGGGACAGTGAGGCAGGGAAGAGCTCAGGCAGAAGAAGCAACAGCAGAGAGTCAGAGAGCAAGGGGCCCTGGGACAAACCGCCACTGCCTGATGCTCCCCTGGCTGCCAGTCTTGTGGGGCCCCGCGCTCTGGGAGAAAAGCATCAGCGTGACAAAGCGTGGGTGTGCTCAGCTAGAGGCGCCAGGTCCTTGTCTGAGGCTCTTTCTCTTCCTGCGGCCAGTGGAACCTTTGAACCCTGCAGGGGGGCTGGGCAGGGTGTTCACTGGCTCTCCAGCCGTGGCCTCCGGTATGCTGCTTCACCAAGATGTGCACATCGAGAGGCCGCCATTAAAGGGGGACTGGACCAGACCAGTCTGCCCCGGACAGTCTGGAGTGTGTGACCCACTGGCTCCCAAGAGACAGAAACCCGGATTCAATAGCCAGCCGTAACCTGCTCAGACGGTTTGACCTTGTTTAATTATTTCCCTCAGTTCCTTTGTTCACTTGTGAAGGAGTTCCCCTGCCTTCCCACTATCCTGCCACAGAATGGGCCTCCCACTATGTGCTTGTGGGATTACATTGGTCATTATCTCTAAATGAGCCTGGAGGGAGGTAGTGTACTCGGTGCACAGACCGTGTACGCGAAAGGGTCCCGAGACCAGGAGCCGGTTGGCGCCAGCGAAGCGCTGGCCCCACGGCTCTGACCTGCTGCTTGGGAGGTGTGTTCTCTCAGCTTAAAAAACACAGCAGAACTGTTCTCCCTGGAATCACTCAGTCCTACAAAGCTCACCCGTGGTTAACACTCTCGTAGCCAAGATGCTGGGGGAAGGTGGGATACCGGCGTTCCTGGTGGAAATCTCACACTCAGCGTCTGTCTCAGTTCTGGTGGAAATGGGCCATTTTGTTTTCTGCCTTCAAAGGCTATGCTCGAGGGAGTCTGGGTGTATGCATGAATAAGGGTATAATCAATATAAACATGGTATACACACATTATATACACAATATGCACAGAGTATATAATACATACAGGATACACATGATATACACAGGATGCCTACAATATATACAGTGCATACATACACATAGGACACACACACTATACACACAGGATATACACAGTATGCACGCAGTATACACAGAGTTACAAACACACAGGATACACATGTTATATACATGATACATAGAGGATACACACAACATATACAGCATATACATGCACATGGTATACACACAGGACACACATGTTATGACATAGGATATATGCAGAATGAACAAAGCATACATACAGTATACACATGGTATACACACATGATGTACAAAGTATACTTACAGAATTCACACAGTATATATATGGTATACGCACAATATACACAGGATATGCACAGCGTGCATATAGTATACACACAGGTTACATATGATATGTGCACAGGATATACACAGTGTACAAGGAGTATACATTCAGTATATACACGGGATATACTGGTACACAATATACATACAGGATACATATAGTATACACACAGAATGCACACGGTATACACTCAGGGTATGCACAGTTCACACAGAGTATGCATACAGGATACACATGGTATCCACACAGTGTACACATGATAGACACACAGTATACACACAGCATACACATGATATCCACTCAGTATATATACAGTGTACACGGACAACCACACAGTGTGTACGCAGTGGGCACGAACCCCTAAGCGTCCCCTGGAGCTGGACTGGGTGTCCTGGGCTGAGCCTCCAGTGCAGCCGGCTCTCTCACGTGGGCCGGCCTGGCTGTGCCTGCGTCAGGTGAACGGACTTCCTTCTGAGGGGGCTCTGTCCAGATCCACCCCCTCAGCAAATAGGAATCCAGTTCAAAGAGCGCTTGTCAGGCTCAGGGGCTCACGTCTGTGTCCATGTGCCGGGGTCAGCTTCGGCTCAGCCGGGCCGAAGGGCAGGTTGGTGGCGTGAGCCCTGCGGATGGGGCAAATGCAGGGCGGGGGACCTCGCGGAGGCTGGAGAGCGCGGTGTCGGGCCTCACATCTCCTGGCAGCTCGAGGCCGGGCCTGCTCACAGTGGACCTGCTCCGCCTGCTGACTGTTGGCATCGCTGTTCCCCCTTAGAGGAGATCTTGAAGACCCACATCGCCCACTGGTGGTCTCCGGACGGCACGAGGCTCGCCTATGCCACCATCAATGACTCGCGCGTACCCGTCATGGAGCTCCCAGCCTACACGGGTGCCGTGTACCCCACCGGGAAGCTCTACCACTACCCCAAGGTAGGCAAGACGCCACGGCAACAAACTGCCCCCTCGGCCCCCAGCCAGCCACCCGGCGATGGGCCTGGGCCCTTCAGACCGGCGAGGAGCACACAGTCAACGAGGCAGGATGAGTTACTTCCCCTACGAGGCGTGCTGAGTTCAATTTGTTGGCGAAGTTACTTTATTTTAAACAATTGAACTGTGTTAACCTTGTGTCTAAGCTCCATTCCAGGTGACGAACCCTCACACTGCAGACACCCCCTCCGCCCTTTCAGGGCTGTTTCTGGAGAGGCAGGACTGTCTGCCAGCCCCGGGCCTCAGTGGGCTGGGTCTTGGTTGTGTTCTGACCGGTAGTGTGTCCACCTGCTTCCCACGCCAGGTTGCCGGCCACAGGAGCCAGCAGGAGACGAGGACACGGTGGGTGGGACGGGGCCAGCACCCCACCTCTCCTGTTAGCAAATGGGAGCGGTGCAGTGCCAGTGGGGGAGGAGGGGCAGACAGGGGGACTGACGCCCAAACCTCTCCTGCCTGCTCGGCCGGAGAGAGTGGACACACGGGCAGCTGTCCTGCTACCCGCGCGCTGCACCAGACTTCCCCTGCGCCCACCTGGCGGCAGCGCTCACTTCCCGCCTGGGCCCGCACTGAGCCCCAGCTGCCCAGGCCATCAGAGGGCCCTGGGGTGCAGCCACATGCTGTACACAAGACAGCCTGGACGTGCCAGCGGGGAATTTTTGCAGGAGGACGATAGGTAGTGTGCAGATGAGGCCAGCCAGGCGCAGAGTGTCTCAGTCAGCTTGTGCGGCTGTAACAAACATGGCATTCAACAGACACGTGTTCCTCGCGGGCTGCAGCTGGGGTCTAAGGAGGTGCCAATGCAGTCGGTTCTCCTAAGAACCCTCTTCCAGGCTCCAGCCGGCCACTCCCTCCCTCGTCCTCAAGAGGCAGAGAGAGCACTCTGGTGTCTTCCTCTCCTTCTAAGGACACAAACCCCAACATGGGGCCCCACCCTCATGCCTCATCTAACCCGGTCACCTCCCAAAGGCCCCACCTGCAGACCCATCCCAGGGACCCGGGGCCTCACGTTTTCATTCGGGAAGAACAGGGACTCTCCATCCATAGCAGCTGGTAGGACAGACCCATTCCTCAGCCCCTCCAAAGAGTGTGTTGTCTAGCGAGGTCCCAGGTGGAGACGTGTGGGTCCCAAGGCCAGAGCTTTGTCTCTGCCGTGTTCCTGTCCTAAGGCACCTGGCTCTCAGTGTGTGACCAGGATATGCCTCTGACAGAATTCCTTCACTCCGGCTCCAGCTTGTCATTCACCAAACCCATGGAAGGGCCTGGGTGAAGCTGGATAAGTTAAGTAAGGCGTGCTGGATGCTGCCCAGCCTCTAACCCATCCACATGCATGCACACACATACACACACACACACACACACACACACACACACACACACACTCACACACACTCTACAGCCAGGCTGTCTGACCTTCATCTGATCACTCACAGCTGGAGAGGCTTCCCAGATGAAGCCCTCATCTAGGGGTGAGGCACCTGATCTTACAGCGAGGGCCCTGTTCTTACAGTGAGGGCCCTGGCCTGATAGTGAGGACCCTGGCCTGACAGTGAGGGCCTTGGCCTTACAGTGAGGGCCTTGGTCTTACAGTGAGGGCCTTGGCCTTACAGCGAGGGCCTGGGCCTTACAGCGAGCTCTGGGACAGGTGCTCAGAAGTCAGATTGATAAAACCCCAGATCACTGAGTGTTTGAGATTTCATATTTCAATAGAAAGTCACTGTATTCTGACCACAGAACTCAGCTGCTCTTTGCCCATGATGCTTCTCCCAAATCAGAGCCATGAGCTGCCACCTGCCTCTTAGGGCAGGTTTCCTCCTCCCCCTGAGCTTCTCCCTCTGCTGGGAGCAAAGGAAGCGAAGGCATCAGTCACACCCACAGTCCTGCTGACGCCCACACCAGAGTCCCCTCCCCTTCCTGCCGGTGCCCTGGCCCAGGACAGAGGGTTTTCCCCACCGCTGGGCCACACGGTCATCACCATCCTCTCCACTTGCAGAATTTTCTCTCCTTCTCCTTGTCTATTTGTTTCCCACTCCCAGAGGTTAAGCCCATGGAGTGGAGCTCGCCTGGTGGGGGGGGGGGGGGGGGGCTCAGTGAGGAGAGGGCAGGCTCCGGCAGGAGAAGTGCAGGCTCAGGCAGGAGCAGCTGTCCTCGGCACGCTTTGCTCTCAGCTCTGAGCTCGGGCCGGGGCTGTGCCGGGAAGACCACACACAGGGGCCTCACGTCCTGCCTCTCATCCTGCAGGCCGGGTGTGAGAACCCCACCATTTCCCTGCACGTCATCGGCTTGAACGGGCCCACCCACGACCTGGAGATGACGCCACCCGACGACCCTCGGATGAGGTTTGCGCCCCAGTTACGTTAGAAAGTAGCAATGGCTGTTGAGGGGCCTGGTCTCCCCAGACCCCGGGGTGTTTACTGCTAACGTAAACACCCCCAGAAAACGGTAATTACCTTGTTTTCCGTGTTTGAGCTGGGTGTCCTGGCAAAGGGACACCAGTCCTACCTACAGTCCCACATCTCACCGTGGACCGGTTATCTGGCTGCGCTCCTCCCAAAGGGCCAGCAGGGGGCGCACTGACTCCATCTTTCCAGAAACAGCCCATGGAATCGCACTTTTTGTCCATGACGCCCCGTTTTTGGAGTGTTTTTGGAGCCCTGAACCCGCTGCTTCATGAGCCAACCCCCCGCCCCCCTCCCTGGGAGTGAGATCAGCGTGCCATTGGTGTTTTCCTAAGAAGGGATGGTTGGAAGAAAACTTTTGGAATTCTTGAAAATCAAAAAGCTGCCGTCATTTTCTCATTTGTTGGAAATTTTAGCAGCATGCAGACCTGTAGTTTGAAGACCATTGTCCCTCAGATTAGCGGGTAGGCACCATGCTCTGGAACCCAGTGCTGCTGGTGGCCTGGTGTTCCTCCGATGCCTGTTCCGCTGGGGATCACCTATTTCCTTGTTCCAAAGCTGTTTAGATTTTGAAATAACACATCCAAATGGGTTTTCATTCATCACCTCCTCATTCAGAGCCTGTCGGCTGAAATTCCTGTTGGGCACATTTCTCTGCTGCATGATGCAGTACCTAGACCTCCAGTCCCCAGAACTTTCTCTGGGTCCCCTGTGCAGGGATTTTAGGGTGCTGCTTTTCCAACCAGCCTCGCCACTTACCGCTCTTCTGTCTGCAGAGGACGGGTAAGGGAACATGCCTGCCAATTCCTTTATTATCATCACAGTTAGGTGTCCACAGAGAGGAGCCGTTAACAAACATGATAAACCCGCCAGCTTATGCGGGAAACCTCCTGCTTCTCCTTATGACCTTCTTGTTTAAAAAGGAATCTCCACTTCATAGAAATGATCACCACTTGCCACCCCACGAACTGTTAAGCATTTGGATAAATTTTCTTTTGAGATTTTTTTCCCTAGAAATGCGTACTTATTTGTTATTTGCTTGTCTGTTTTGTTGTTTTTTTGTTTTGTTTTGTTTTTATCATTAAGCCATATTCCCAGCACCATTGGCTGTATAAATCTTTCTTTCCCCACTGGTTTGGTCTGACACTTTTATAAAATACCAGAGGCCCAGTGCACGGATCTGGGCACACTGAAAAAACGTTAATCGGAAGGTGGCCAGCAGGGTGGGACGAGGCAAGACGGGCCTGACACACCCTGGAGCCAGCCTCCCACAGTCCCTCCCTGGCCAGCCACACCTGGGGCGGCGCCAGAGCTTGAAGGGCCTCTGCAGAGTGAGCGGGGTCCCTCAGGCAGTGGGGTCCCTGGGCCTGGCTGCGGGAATCAGGCCAAAACGGCCGTCTGACATCCCCCGAGGGGTCCCAGTGCGAGAGGCACTCTGCAAAGTTGCTGTTGCTTGGCAGCTCCTGCGTTCAGCATCTGCCCCTTGGTGGTCAGTGCACGTCATAGCTACCAGCCAGTTGCTTAGGCTTTTATATACAGAGATTAAATTATGTTAACTGTTCTGTTCCTATGGAAATCGTTATGATTTAAGGCTGTTCACTGGCTTGTAGACCTACTGATTCTTACGAGAGTAGTAAGTCTAGGGCCAAACTGTAGCATTAGCAGCTTCTTGTATACACCCCCTCATGAGGGTTAGAATATTTTAAAGACTATCTTGGCCATTTTTGTCACTTCTTCATATGTATAAACTTTAGAATTATTTTATTAGCTGAGCCCCTCGTAGAAAAGAAGCTCCTTTCTCTTCCTATTAGAATTCAGTGGCTTCTCTCAGTACTTACGTGGGACAAGCGTGCCAAGTGCTGAAGACGCAAAGTGAGCAATGCAGGTGATCAGCCAGTTCTCCCCCAGATGGTCATGATTTTGAACATAGTATGTTTGCCGTCCTCTCTCTTAAACGCTGTCTTTCTGTTTCATCAGTTGTGTTTTTGTCTTTAATCTTATTCAAAATGTATAATTACTCAAAATGTATAATTCTATGAAATATTCACCCAATATTTCTTTTATTTTATATTATTTTATCACCTGATAAGGACTGTATATTTGCATTCAAGTTGTGCGGTCAGATTGGTAGCAGTTTCAGAGCAGATGGGGACAAATGGATTTAGAAATTACCTTCTCACACGCTGCGTTTGTCCCTTGAGCTTCACCGGTGACTGCCCTCAGGGGCGGCTCGTCATGGAGGTGCGCTCTGTCCTGTTGGTAAAGGCACGCCAGGGTGGTAGATGCCGTCAGGCCCAGACCGGGGAGAGACTAGAGCTGCCAGACTGGTCCTTTGTCAGACTGTTCGCGGTGCCCACGGGCACGGGGCCTGGGGAGCATGCCTGCTGTCTGCCTCACTTACCCCAGAGGTCAGCTCTCTCTCTCCTCGCCTGCTTTCCGTGTGGTTTCCTCCGTTGCATGAATGCCCGACCTCCTGAGCTCCCCAAGGACAGAGCCCACCCTGACGTCCGGCCGCAGGCGGGCGGGAGGCCCCGCTCCTCTCCCGCCTGGGTGCTGCATGGCCGCTCTCCAAGGGCCGCTGAGCAGAGCCTGGGCATGGCATCCGACTTCGCTGGGCTGATGCGATCCCTCCTGCCGCTGTGGAATGGCTTTGTCTGAGTTCTGGCTGATGGTGTCTGTGCCGCCAGGAGGGAGAGCCGTGGTGGGTGCTCGCTGGTGCCCCCAGGAGGGCAGGGCAGTGAGCGGGCAGGAGAAGCACAGGCCCCGCCGGCTCGCCGAGCGGCTCAGCCACGGCCCAGCGCTGGCGTCCATGGCTGCCGCCTCCCTTTCAGCTGGAGACTCGGCGCCTGCTAGGGGGCTGCTGCGCCTTTTCCCCTGGGCCTCCCGGTGGACTGTGCTGACGGAGCGGGCGCAGTGCCCGCTGACCACGCCACCCTCCGCGTGGATATCAGCGCCCCAGGCCGTGACCTGAGGAGCGGAGGGAGCAAGTCTATTCTCTCGGCTCACCCACCTCCTGCCTCTTCACCGTCTGCCCTGCGGGGACTCCGCCATTTGTGACATGATTCCCATACGAAGTTGTCCCTGCGGAGCAGGCTGGGCCTTGAGGTGGTGTTAAGGCCTGAGCACATCCCGTGTTTGTGGGGAAATACCGGGGAGCAGCCCAGACCCCCGCAGCAGGGACAGAGCCACGGGCCTGGGCTCACAGGGCAGACACACACAACACACGGTGCTTCAGAGACTCCGGACACCCGGAGGCTGAAAAAACACAAGCACAGGCTCCCCTTGCCTGACCCCACCACATTCTCCGAGTTCGAGGACACGGCCCAGCAGTGCCCGCCTGCCCTCGGGCGGCCAGTTCCCCGGCTCTCGGGGCAGGTGAACTGGTTAAAACCCTGACAACAGGCAGGTAGATGGAGGCCGGCACAGCATTGACTCTCCGGGGGAGCGGGCGCAGGGCAAGCCCCGGCCGGTCAGGCCTTTCTGTGGACGTGGGTGGTGGATGCGGCTGTGAAATGTGCCAGGGCGCCTTCCAGCAGGGAGGCCGGGTGCCGTCCTGCTGCTCCATGGCCAACGGTCTGCAGGACACAGAGGCCGTCCTGAGGGCCGCCTCACTAGGGGTTGCAGGGTAAGCAATGGGAGATGTATTAGCTAGAACGTTCTTCGAATTCACCTCTAGAACGTACTTTGAATTCACCTGAGAATATTCCCCTGTGCATTTATTTTCTTCTTCTTAAATGTACTTTCCCGCTAAGACAGAATCCCAGTGTTGGAGGGCTCTGCGTAATGGAATTAGTCACCAGCCGGTCCCTCGTAACGGAATTAGTCACCAGCCGGTCCCTCCTGCTGCGTGAGCACAGTGGTGTTTTCGGACATGTGACCTCTAGGCTGTCACACCAAGTTCACGGGCACCTGGGCCGGTTTCCCGGATTAGCCTGCGGACATGACTGAGTATCTGGCCACTACGGGAGAGGGAATGGCGCACAGAGCTCCCTCAGTGCGGGCGGGGCCCTCCCACCAGAGTTGGGAACCCCCCTCCCCCCTGACGTCCAGGGCCCAGTCGGGCCGTCTCTGGTCCCGTGGCCCCTGCCACGCCGCTCACCGTGTGCTGTGTGATTCCAGGGAATACTACATCACCATGGTGAAGTGGGCCACCAACACCAAGGTCGCCGTGAACTGGCTGAGCCGGGCGCAGAACGTGTCCATCCTCACCCTCTGCGACGCCACCACAGGCGTCTGCACCAAGGTACACGTGGGCAGGGACCGCGCCTCAGCAGGCCACCGGGGGCCCTTTGGGCTCCATTGCTGCAGGCAAACCGCTCAGCTGCTTATTGTCAAGGTGGCTGCCTGCATCCAAGTCTCTGCATCAGTGCCACCTGGTGGGTGGCTGCAGTACTGCCGACACCCAGGCGTGCTCTTTCAGTGTCTGCAGCTGATGCACTTCCTTTGGCCTTGAATTTTCATTTCCCACCTGCAGAGGGACACGGCTCGCAAAGCCACTCTGTTGGGGCTCGGGAGCCGCTTCAGCAGCTCTCGCTGCACTGCCTAAGTGAGGCGCGGGGTCTGTGCTGAGACTGAGTCCCTCCCTACCCTCTCCTCCCCCTCTCCCCCCCGCCAGGCCGGGTTACCTGGGTTGGCACATCACTGAGAGCAGATCCAGGTTATTCTGATGGGCTTGCTGAGGGGAAGGAAGGAAGGAAGGAAGGAAGGAAGGGAGGGAGGGAAGGAGGGAGGGAGGGAAGGAGGGAAGGAGGGAGGGAGAGAGGAAGGGATGAGAACACCCAGCCAGGAAGCTGGGATTTCTCCTAATTCTACCTGTGCCCCCGGGAGTGTCCACAACCGAAGCTCCATGGCCACCAGCAGCCCTGGGCACCCGGAGGCTGGGCCAGCACCAGGGCCGCTCACGGTTTGGGGATGTGTTTGGCCTGCGGTATTATCACCCCACGCATTCTGTAGCCTACGTCCCATTTACTCTTTAAGCCCTCTTAGTGTTTCCTTGCAAGGGCTGTCCTCAGAGCTGATGTGTCCCATGCACGGCTGGGTGCAGGCACAAATTCCTAAAGCAGGCAGCATGTGCCGAGGCAGGGGTGACCGTCTAACGGGGACATGCCTGGTTAGGGGTGAGCACCGAGCGGTAAGTGTCCCCTCTTCCAAAGGACTCCTACCTGTATGGAGTTGTCCTCAGAGCTGAGAGAGTGACATTTCCTTTTTGGGGACACTTAGTTTTGGCTCTGAGCCACACTATGAGACCGCCTCACCCAAGCGTGGCCTGGTCCTGAGCCGTGGCCTGGTCCTGAGCCGTGGCCTGGTCCTGAGCATGGCCTGGTCCTGAGCATGGCCTGGTCCTGAGTATGGCCTGGTCCTGAGCCGTGGCCTAGTCCTGAGCCATGGCCGGGTCCTGAGCTGTGGCCTAGTCCTGAGTATGGCCTGGTCCTGAGCCATGGCTTGGTCCTGAGCCGTGGCCTGGTCCTGAGCCATGGCCTGGTCCTGAGCATGGCCTGGTCCTGAGCCGTGGCCTGGTCCTGAGCCGTGGCCTGGTCCTGAGCCGTGGCCTGGTCCCAGGCGTGGCCTCATTTGGTGTGGCCCGGCGCTGTCTTGCTGAGGCAGCCCCGGCACAGGGGAAGCAAACTGCTTCGCTCTGCGGTCTGGACGTTGCAGTCGGCCCGAGGCCTTTCTCTGATGCTCTCATTTCGTTTCAGAAACACGAGGATGAAAGTGAAGCCTGGCTCCACAGACAGGTAACTACCCCACGAGTGAGTCCCGCCATAACCCCAGGGGAGCCCCAAGCGGACGCTAGACGTGCGTGGCCTGGGGAGTGCGGCTGCCTGCCCGCTGCTCCCTCCGTGGCCCTCGCTCTCCTGGAACGGGCTCTGAGGAGGATGCTCGAGAGTCGCTGCTCTTGGCAGCCTACAGTGTTTGGTGAGACGGAAGGTCTCAGGGACAGGATGCCCTTTGGGTGAATTAAAAATGGTGGATCCACAGTTTCCCAGAAGAAAATGAAACATGGGCCATAGTTCTGTTTTCTCCACGTGGTTCCGTGGTCTCACTTGTAGCGGATGCCGCTGGGGTTCAGCACCAGCCTCCTGGGGACGAACGCCAACCACCCCCTCCACCCCCCCCCCCCCGGCTTCCCCGCCCCTGACCCAGACAGGAGTGCCCTCCGAGGGCTCGGGCACTGGAGATCACGGAGGTCAGGGAGGCCCAGGTACTCACTCCATAACAAACATAGCCTATATAATAAAAGGCTGATCTGCTACTCGACCAAACAGCGGACGACCAGTCCCTAGGATGCCCACTGACCACCAGGGAGGACATGCTCATGCAGGAGCTGCCCCTGGTGGTCAGTGTGCTCCAGCGGAGGGGGGAGCGCCGCCCAGCCAGAAGCGGGCTCACGGCCAGCGAGCGCAGTGGCAGGGGTGGGAGCCTGTCCCGCCTGGCAGCAGCGCCTAGGCTGTTCCGCGGACGGCTTAGGCCCGCCCCCCTTGGGTGTCGTCAGTGGGACATCCCCCAAGGGCTCCCGGACGGCAGGGGGGACCACCCCCCTCCAGTGCATGAATTTTGTGCACCAGGCCTCTAGTGTGTGTGTGTGTGTGTGTGTGTGTGTGAGTGTGTGTGTGTGTGTGTGTATTAAACTTACACAAAAAAGAAAACCCGAAACATTAGTATATTCTGCTTTATTTTCTCCTTTCACACCTGGCGTTAGGAAGGACAGGGAAGCGCTGTGGGGGTTACTTCCCTCTTACCCTGCCGAGCGGCAGGAAGACTGGAAATTCTGGGGGAAGCTCACGCCAGATCCCAGTCTGAAATGTGGTCCAGGAGCTCCTTTGTCATGTGTGGGAAGGGGGGGAGGCTGGGCAGCATCCCTGCCCACATGGTTCCACACACATTCCCGCAGCGCCCACTCACGCCCTCCTTTGTCTGTGGACCGGCAATCCCCAGCTTCCCATCCATTGTCCCGGCTGGTGCCTCAGACACCACACTGTTGCTTTTAAATGTGTCCAAGTCTGTTCCCCGCCATCGTTTCCAAAAGCGAATGGCCACGATGGCCACAGTAGTTTTCCTATGAACAAGTTTGAGTGCCGAGTCCACGACTGGAACAAATGCAGCACGAGAGAGAGGGGAGCCTGATATCGCCATGGCGCTGGCTGGTCTGGGCTGGAGCTGGGCTGGGGCTGGGACTGGGGCTGGGCTGGGGCTGGGTCTAGGCTGGGGCTGGGCTGGGCTGGGTTGGGGCTGGGGCTGGGGCTGGGCTGGGCTGGGCTGGGGCTGGGGCTGGAGTGGGGCTGGGGCTGGGGCTGGGGCTGGGGCTGGGGCTGGGGCTGGGGCTGGGGGCTGGGGACTGGGGCTGGGGCTGGGGGTTGGGGGCTGGGGCTAGGCTGGGGCTGGGGTGGGGGTGGGGCTGGGGCTGGCCTAGGGCTGGGGCTGGGCTGGGGCTGGGGCTGGGGCTGGGGCTGGGCTGGGGCTGGGTCTGGGGCTGGGCTGGGCTGGGGCTGGGGCTGGGGGCTGGGGCTGGGGCTGGGGCTGGGGTGGGGGTGGGGCTGGGGCTGGGGCTGGGCTGGGGCTGGGGGCTGGGGCTGGGGCTGGGGGCTGGGGGCTGGGGCTGGGCTGGGGCTGGGGCTGGGGCTGGTCTGGGCTGGGTCTGGGGCTGGGCTGGGGCTGGGGTGGGGGTGGGGGTGGGGCTGGGCTGGGGTGGGGCTGGGGTGGGGGTGGGGCTGGGCTGGGGCTGGGGCTGGGCTGGGGCTGGGGCTGGGGCTGGGGTGGGGCTGGGGCTGGAGCTGGGTCTGGGGCTGGGCTGGGGCTGGGGCTGGGGTGGGGGTGGGGCTGGGGCGGGGCTGGGGTGGGGCTGGAGCTGGGCTGGGCTGGGGCTGGTATAAGCCCTTGACTGCCACCTGGACCACCGTGTGAGCAGAGACCACAGTAACATCATGGCATTTCCCCTCCATCAACCAATGCCAGGAGAGAAAGGAAGGCCAGGAAACCACTGTCTGTCCGGTTGTGTGTCCAGCTACTATTTATGCGTCGGGGGCACGTGCGGGCGCTGCGGGTTTCAGGGACGTCGGGCCCCTCGGCTAGCGCGGCCTGTGACCACCCCCTGGCTCTGCTCTGGTGGGCTTTGGGTGGTTCCGGTTCCGTGAGCATCGTGCTGAGCAGGAGAGAGCAGCCAGGCATGAGGACCTGTGGCCCACGCCGGTGCCATGGCCAGAACAGGGGGTTTGCAGGAACAGAAAAAGGCTCAGGATTGTCTGGGAGGCTGTGAAGGGCTGGGCCCGTACTGTGTGGCGGCTTTGGTGTGGGGACGGGAGCGCTTTGGGACTAGAACGAACAGCGCTGTGAGGCACTAAATGCTGCCTGGTTACCTTTCCTGCCTCCCGCACGCCCCCTAGTGGGAACCAAGCCCACAACCCGGGCATGTGCCCTGACTGACCAGAACCGAACCAGCGACCTCCTGGAACATGGACGACAACGCCCAGCCAACTGAGCCACACCGGCCGGCCACTCGGTTCCCTTTTCTGTTTTATTTTGTGAATTTCATCTCAGCTTTTTAAAAGATGAGCCAGCTGGAGCCTCAGCTCCAGGACGTCCCAGCAGAGGGCGGTGAGAGCAGCGGTGCCCTCAGAGGGGCCGGGGTCACCGGAGAGCTTAGGTGTGACCCGGTGCAGCGTGGGGACCAGCCCCGTGGCTGCAGTCTGGGTCCGAACAGGAGGAGGCGAGGGCGACGTACCGAGCACCTGCGCTCTGCTACCGTTGGCAGCGAGCTGTGGGCCCAGTCCGAGGTCCCCCCGCTCCCCATCCCAGCACCCCCACGGGCGGAGCACCCCACGGCAGGTGACCTTCCCAGAGGCCAGGGAGCTGCCCCTCCACTCACCCATCCTCAGCTCCGCACTCAGCACTCAGCCTGTGGTACAGACTCTCCGCTGGGCTGCTCACCCAGTGGGAGACAGCCCAGCACCCAGCAGGCAGCCTGGACGTGACCTGAGAAGCCAGAGCTTCCCACCCAGATCGCACCAGCACTCGGGAAGGAGCGTGAGGTGTAACCAGCTTTTATGGTGTGAACGTGAAAGCACACGTTGAGCAAACCGTGAGACTTTATCCAGGCGGGGGCGTCTCCATCCCACCGGGCTAGGCAGCAGGCACCTCCATTCGGCTGGGCCAGGAGCAGGCACCTCCATCCGGCCGGGCCACGTTGGGGCACCTCCATCTGGCCGGGCCAGTCAGGCACCTCCATCCCACCGGGCCAGGCAGGCATCTCCATCCGGCCGGGCCAGTCAGGCACCTCCATCCGGCCAGGCCAGGCAGCAGGCACCTCCATCCGGCCGGGCCAGGCGGGGGCACCTCCATCCAGCCGGGCCAGGAGCGGGCACCTCCATCCGGCCGGGCCAGGTGGGGGCACCTCCATCCAGCCGGGCCAGGAGCGGGCACCTCCATCCGGCCGGGCCAGGCGGGCACCTCCATCCGGCCGGGCCAGGTGGGGGCACCTCCATCCGGCCTGGTCAGGAGCGGGCACTTCCATCCGGCCAGGCCAGTCAGGCACCTCCATCTGGCCGGGCCAGTCAGGCACCTCCATCCGGCCAGGCCAGGCGGGCACCTCCATCCGGCCAGGCCAGGCAGCGGGCACCTCCATCCGGCCGGGCCAGGCAGGCACCTCCATCCGGCTGGGCCAGGCCGGGGGCACCTCCATCCGGCCGGGCCAGGCAGCAGGCACCTCCATCCGGCCGGGCTGGGCCAGGCAGGGGGCACCTCCATCTGGGCGTCAGAGCAGAGACACAGGGGCCTGGGAGGCAGTGTTCCCTCTGAGCAAGCCGGCCCCTCACACAGCTCCAGGTCAGTGAACAGATCAGTGCCAACCACGCATCCTGACCTCCCTTCCAGAGGCAGCTGACGATGATGCGCATCCCCACGGCCTAGAAGGCAAGTGAGAAACGCCTGCGGCTGGACCTGCCATCTGTCTGCGACCAGGGAGGCTGCAGAGCACCAGCCATCACAAAGGCGTTCTCACACACACACACACACACACACACACACACACACACACACCTGCCCGCTGGCCCAGGCACAGGGACATCTAAGGAGAGGACTGGAGTCTGGCATCTCGTGGCAACCTCCCAGACACCGGGTCTGCTCAGTTAACTGTCTGCTAGATACCCGTTGCCAGGGCAACAAGGTGAGCTAGGGCACCTCTCATCCATTGGACCCTCGCCTCCTCGCCTGTCCTCCCATCTCCCTCTGAGGTAGTGCTCCCATGGAGCTTCCCTGAGCCAACAAGCAGAGGCAAATGTGTGCTCCATCCCATGGCGGAGACCGCCACCCCCTCCCTTCTGTGGGAATATTCCGGAGGAAGTGGCAGCCCCTCTCCCCCGCACTCACCCCATCACCGCTGTCCGTGACCTTCAGAGCGCCCGGAGGCACACTCCCCAGCAGCCTGCCCCAGGCCATCGCCTTCGACCACAGCCCGTCCTGGAGGCCCGTCTCTGACCCTCTTTCTTCACCGGGGTCTTGGTTTTGCGATTTCACGTTTGGCCAAGACGCGTGGAGCTGAACCGTGGGAAGGACTGGCAGAGAGGCCACCAGCACCTCCCGCAGGCTCAGCGGGAACAGGGCGCTCTGCACAGATCTGCTCTGAACAGGGCCAGCCGGGCATCACGCGTGGAACTCCGTGACCCAGGGATGCTCCCCAAGCCCAGGGGTCAGAGCCGGGGTGAAAGTCGTTTCCCTGGAAATAAGCCTCAGGGGGGCGCCACGGCCCTCCCCGCCCGCCATGGAATGTCCCGTGATCCACATATGATGGCATCCCCTGATCGACGCCTTCTCAGAGTACAAACAGCACTTCGGCCCAGAATTAATTCTTCGTTCCTCTTATCCCCAGTTCCTCTTATCCTCTCATCCCTGCGAGCGTGCCCATCCTTCCTGTGTTATCCTGCACGCCACTCAGACTGTGTGTTTGAACCACACTGTCACCGTAGCCGGGAGCAGAGCCTCGGCGCATTGAGCTGGTGCTCCGGGGAACGGGGGTCACGGCCTGTTTTATAAGTTACCGTCGAAGGGGAACATGAAATCCACTGGCCATAGATAGGGGAGCTGGGAGAGAGCAAAGCGGGGACCTCCGGGACAGGGTGAAGGGAAACGATGGACACACCCTCTTTCTCAGGTGGGTGCGGGCTAGTTAGCACTGAACAGCTGGCCTTAGCTTGGTAACAGTCGCCGTGAGGACTGTCCCGGTGCCAATGGTGTGCCCCGCGGGGTTGGAATAAAGGCCAGTTACCCAGACACCTCACAGATGTGTTGTTTTAGAGGCAGAAAGGCAATGGGCTCAGGAAGATCCAAGTTGAACTTTGTCAGGGAAAATCCTGGCCTACGCCATGACTGCCCACTTAGCAGTTAAAGTTTAATTTTTAGACCTTCCTTTGTGGTGACTGTAGGCCTCCGGGTTTGCACAACCACCATGCAGGCCTCCCCTGAACCTGTCAGGACAGCAGGTGGTCCCTCCGTCCACACTCGGCAGCACCGGCACTGCTGGGGTTTCCGGCCGGCACTCGGCAAACAGAGTCCATGCGAAAAGCCCAATTGCCTGCCAGTCTTCTCACTTGTAAATGCCACGCTTCCACCTCTAAATGGAAAAATAAATGTTTGCAGGTTAAAGGTTTCATTTCCTAGCAAAGGTTCCTGGAGATTAAATGTCATTTTAATCACATGTTAGCTTATTTCTCTGGGCACCCGGATTTGCACGGGTTTGTTCGAGGCAGGGAGCTGAGCCTGCCCGCCAGCTGGGGCCACGCCCGGTTCACGCTCATCCCCGCGCGAGGGGGACTCCTTGGGTCAGAAAATGTGCGTGACGTCCAGCTGGTTGGTGTTCGTTTGGAGACTTTGCAACTGGAGCTCCCGAGGGCTGAGATGGTGTTATACCAAAAGCCCTTTTGCCCATCAGGTGACAGCCACCCACAGGGGCGGGTGGGGGCTGAGCAGTGCTGCTAGTTTTTGGGGACAGGGTGGAGATCTGGCAGCTGGCTGTGAATCTAGCCTGGAATTCCCTCCCAGGACAACTGAGAATGTCCCTGTCCCTGCTTTTGTTTCTCACCAACTTCCCTCCATTAGAAGCCATACTGCAGCACAGCGAGCACGTGGTGGTGGTTTCCTCCCACAACTTTCTAGAACGGGTACTAGGATGGACACAGTGTTCCTGGGGCAGGCGCGGTGCTTCCAGGATGGACAGTGCTCCTGGAATGAACCCAGTGCTCCCGGGATGGACACGGTGCTTCCTGGGCGGGCGCGGTGCTCCCGGGATGAACCCGGTGCTCCCGGGGTGGGTGCGGTGCTCCCAGGATGAACCCGGTGCTCCCAGGGCCAGCGTTGTGCTCCTGGGATGAACCCAGTGCTCCCGGGGCGGGGGCGGTGCTCCCAGGGCAGGCGTGGTGCTCCTGGGATGAACCCAGTGCTCCCGGGGCCAGCGCGGTGCTCCTGGGATGAACCCGGTGCTCCTGGGGTGGGCGCAGTGCTCCCGGGGTGGGCGCGGTGCTCCCGGGATGAACCCGGTGCTCCCGGGGTGGGCGCGGTGCTCCCGGGATGAACCCGGTGCTCCCGGGGTGGGCACGGTGCTCCGGAGGCGGGTACAATGTGTCCTTGTGTGCTATTTCTTGTTTCTTGGTCAGTTATTCCGTGTAAACTGGATTTGATAAAATTAAAAAATAGAAAACAGCAGGGAGGAAATAGGGTTCGTTTTCAGGCAGAATCAGGTGTGGGGGTGCTCTAAGTTCCTTAGGAGAGGACATTGACGGCCCCAGAGGAATTCTGCAAAATGCCCCGGTTCCAGGCCGGATAAGGCGGACCCACGGCCCGGGCGGCTGAGAGTGGCCCCGGCCCCCGCTGTGTGTGGGCGCGTCCCCTCTGACCCCGTATCCGGCCGTGGGAGGAACAGCAGGCCGCACGCGTCCGTGCACATGGACTGGGGATGGCAGCAAGGCCCTCCACGTGCCGGCCAGGGCCCGGCTCGGCCTCGGGGACAAGAGCCGTGGCCGGCACTCACGGGGTCGCTGTTACCACAGAATGAGGAGCCGCTGTTCTCCAGGGACGGACGGAAGCTCTTCTTCGTCAGAGCCATCCCGCAGGGCGGGCAGGGCAAGTTCTACCACATCACCGTGTCCTCCTCCCAGGCAAGTCCCGCTCCCTTCCTTCTCTGCCTCCTTCTCCCCTCCCTCCTTCCTCCTCCCTCCCTCCACCTCCCTCCTCCCTTTCTCCTTCCTTCCCTCCCTTCCTCCTCCCTCTCTCCCTCCTCCCTCCTCCATTCCTTCCCTCCTTTCTTCCCTCCTCTATCTCCACCTTTCCCACCCACTTGCCCATGTTTCTCTCTCCCCTCTCCATCCCCCAGTAATGGCGCCAGTTGGATTTGCCAGAGTTAAATAGTACCAGCAGCACAGGGAGCTCTGATTCTTCTCTTGCAACGGGACGCGCCGGGTGGGAGGGCGCAGTGGGGGCACCGTGGTCAGCACCACAGCAGGATGCATGGACACCCGAGGGGAGGGTGTGGGCGGGTGGCCACTCCGAGGAGAGACAGGTGTGGGGACACCCCGCTCCTGGCACCTGAGGGGCCGGGACCCGGACAGAAGTGGGTGGGGCCGCGCCCTCCTCATGGCCGGTCTGTGCAGCCCAACAGCAGCAGCGACAACATCCACTCCATCACGTCGGGGGACTGGGACGTGACCAAGATCCTGGCCTACGACGAGAAGCGGAACAAGATGTAAGTGTGCGTGGCGCCCTGGGCGGGGGTGGGGGTGGGGCCGGGATGGCCTTCCTCCAGGGGTCTCGCACCTGCCCGGGGGTCCCACACCTGCCCGGGGGTCCCGCACCTGCCCGGGGGTCCCACACCTGCCCAGGAGTCCCACACCTGCCCAGGGGTCCCACACCTGCCCGGGGGTACGCACCTGCCTGGGGGTCCCACGCCTGCCCGGGGTACCCACCTGCCCGGGGGTCCCTGCTCCTGCCCGGGGGTCCCTGCTCCTGCCTGGGGGTATGCACCTGCCCATAGGCTCTGGTGTGGGGGCCAGGGTGGCGGTCATGTGCCCCTGGGTTTGGATGTGGAATCTCTTTACAGGATATAACCTCCCGCAGGGCCAGGGCCCAGGCAGAACCCGGGCAGGTGCGTACCCCCGGCAGGTGCATACACCCGGGCAGGTGCGGGATCCCCGGGCAGGTGTGGGACCCCCGGGCAGGTACAGGACCCCGGGCAGGTCTGGGACCCCCGGGCAGGCCTGGGACCCCTGGGCAGCTGTGAGACCCCCAGGCAGGTGCATACCCCCGGGCAGGTCTGGGACCGCCAGGCAGGTCTGGGACCCCCGAGCAGGTGTGGGACCCCGGGCATGTCTGGGACCTCTGGGCAGGTGTGGGACCCCTGGGCAGGTGCATACCCCAGGCAGGTCTGGGACCCCCGGGCAGGTCTGGGACCCCCGGGCAGGTCTGGGACCCCCGGGCAGGTGCGGGACCCCCGGGCAGGTGCGGGACCTCCCGTCAGCAGAGGCTCAGTCCCACCGGAAACGTAGCTGGGCCCAGTGCTGCTGTAGCCATAGAATGGGGGTTCCTGAGCAGAGTCTGCACGGGGCGGGGGGTTGGCTGTGGGGCCACAGCTGCCCTGGAGCCACTAACTCCTGTCACCTGCCTCCACAGCTACTTCCTCAGCACCGAGGACCTGCCCCGGAGACGCCACCTCTACAGGTATGGGCCCTCACCCCTACAGGTATGGGAGCCTCACCCCTACAGGTATGGGGCCTCACCCCTACAGGTATAGGGCCTCACCCCTACAGGTATGGGGCCTCACCCCTACAGGTATAGGGCCTCACCCCTACAGGTATGGGGCCTCACCCCTACAGGTATGGGGCCTCACCCCTACAGGTATAGGGCCTCACCCCTACAGGTATGGGGGGCCTCACCCCTACAGGTATGGGGCCCTCACCCCTACAGATATGGGGCCCTCACCTCTACAGGTATGGGCCCTCACCCCTACAGGTATGGGGGGCCCTCACCCCTACAGGTATGGGGGGCCTCACCCCTACAGGTATGGGGGGCCCTCACCCCTACAGGTATGGAGGGCCCTCACCCCTACAGGTATGGGGGGCCTCACCCCTACAGGTATGGGGGGCCCTCACCCCTACATGTATGGGGGGCCCTCACCCCTACAGGTATGGGGACCTCACCTCTACATGTATGGGGACCTCACCCCTACAGGTATGGGGGGCCCTCACCCCTACAGGTATGGGGGGCCTCACCCCTACAGGTATGGGCCCTCACCCCTACAGGTATGGGGGGCCCTCACCTCTACAGGTATGGGGCCCTCACCCCTACAGGTATGGGGGCCTCACCCCTACAGGTATGGGGGGACCTCACCCCTACAGGTATGGGGGGCCCTCACCCCTACAGGTATGGGGACCCTCACCCCTACAGGTATGGGGCCCTCACCTCTACAGGTATGGGGGGCCCTCACCTCTACAGGTATGGGGGGCCCTCACCCCTACAGGTATGGGGGCCCTCACCCCTACAGGTATGGGAGCCTCACCTCTACAGGTATGGGGGGCCCTCACCCCTACAGGTATGGGGGCCCTCACCCCTACAGGTATGGGGCCCTCACCTCTACAGGTATGGGGGCCCTCACCCCTACAGGTATGGGGGGCCCTCACCCCTACAGGTATGGGGGGCCTCACCCCTACAGGTATGGGGGGCCCTCACCCCTACAGGTATGGGGCCCTCACCTCTACATGTATGGGGACCTCACCCCTACAGGTATGGGGGGCCCTCACCCCTACAGGTATGGGGGGCCTCACCCCTACAGGTATGGGGCCTCACCCCTACAGGTATGGGGGGCCCTCACCCCTACAGGTATGGGCCTCACCCCTACAGGTATGGGGCCTCACCCCTACAGGTATGGGGGACCCTCACCCCTACAGGTATGGGGGGCCCTCACCCCTACATGTATGGGGGGCCCTCACCCCTACAGGTATGGGGACCTCACCTCTACATGTATGGGGACCTCACCCCTACAGGTATGGGGGGCCCTCACCCCTAAAGGTATGGGGGGCCTCACCCCTACAGGTATGGGGCCTCACCCCTACAGGTATAGGGCCTCACCCCTACAGGTATGGGGGGCCTCACCCCTACAGGTATGGGGCCCTCACCCCTACAGGTATGGGGCCCTCACCTCTACAGGTATGGGCCCTCACCCCTACAGGTATGGGGGGCCCTCACCTCTACAGGTATGGGGCCCTCACCCCTACAGGTATGGGGGCCTCACCCCTACAGGTATGGGGGGACCTCACCCCTACAGGTATGGGGCCCTCACCCCTACAGGTATGGGGGGCCCTCACCCCTACAGGTATGGGGACCCTCACCCCTACAGGTATGGGGCCCTCACCTCTACAGGTATGGGGGGCCCTCACCTCTACAGGTATGGGGGGCCCTCACCCCTACAGGTATGGGGGCCATCACCCCTACAGGTATGGGAGCCTCACCTCTACAGGTATGGGGGGCCCTCACCCCTACAGGTATGGGGGCCCTCACCCCTACAGGTATGGGGCCCTCACCTCTACAGGTATGGGGGCCCTCACCCCTACAGGTATGGGGGGCCCTCACCCCTACAGGTATGGGGGGCCTCACCCCTACAGGTATGGGGGGCCCTCACCCCTACAGGTATGGGGCCCTCACCTCTACATGTATGGGGACCTCACCCCTACAGGTATGGGGGGCCCTCACCCCTACAGGTATGGGGGGCCCTCACCCCTACAGGTATGGGCCTCACCCCTACAGGTATGGGGGCCTCACCCCTACAGGTATGGGCCTCACCCCTACAGGTATGGGGCCTCACCCCTACAGGTATGGGGGCCCTCACCCCTACAGGTATGGGGCCTCACCTTTACAGGTATGGGGGCCTCCAGGCAGGGCCCTCTGGGGGGAATCAGGAGACATGCTCAGCCACCCAATGGGACGCTTTGCTATATTTCCGCTTTTGTCCAGTTGAGTCCCCTCTGTCCCTTCTCCCCATGAGACCTGGGGGCCTCGGGGCGGGGCCCTGGACAGGCTCTCGGATCGGAGACCACAGGAGGTCAGGGAGGCCACATGACCAGACGCTGCACTGGCCTTGCCGGGGGTCGGGCCTGCGTGAGGGACCGGGACACGCCACAGAGCACGTGCCGCAGCCGGCCGGGACCGGGAGGGCAGGGCTGCAGGGCTCCTGTGCGGTGGGAGATGCAGCTCTGACAGCTTCTCTCCTGGGCTCACTCCGCCTCCCCCTCCAGCGCCAGCACAGTGGGCAACTTCAACCGGCAGTGCCTGTCCTGCGACCTGGTGGGCAACTGCACCTACTTCAGCGCATCCTTCAGCCACAGCGCCGACTTCTTCCTGCTCACGTGCGAAGGTGGGTCCCCCCTCCCGCCCTCTGCCCTCCGCCCCTGGTCCAGGCCCCTGTGTCCCTGCCCCTGTGTCCGGCCCCTGTGTCCCCGCCCCTGTGTCCCTGCCCCTGTGTCCCGGCCCCTTTGTCCTGTCCCCTGTGTCCCCACCCCTGTGTCCCAGCCTCTGTGTCCCCACCCCTGTGTCCCCGCCCCTCTGCCCTCCGCCCCTGGTCCAGGCCCCTGTGTCCTGGCCCCCGTGTCTGAGCCCCTGTGTCCCAGCCCCTGTGACCCCGCCCCTGGTCCAGGCCCCTGTGTCCCGGCCCCCGTGTCTGAGCCCCTATGTCCGGCCTCTGTGTCCCTGCCCCTGTGTCCCGGCCTCTGTGTCCCTGCCCCTGTGTCTCCGCCCCTGTGTCCGGGCCCCTTTGTCCTGTCCCCTGTGTCCCGGCCCCTGTGTCCCCGCCTCTGTGTCCCCACCCCTGTGTCCCCGCCCCTGGACGGGCCCCTGTGTCCCGGCCCCCATGTCCCCACCCCTGTGTCCCCGCATCTGTGTCCCAGCCTGTGGTCCGGGCCTCTGTGTCCCGGCCCCCATGTCCCCACCCCTGTGTCCCGGCCCCTGTGTCCCCGCCCCTGTGTCCCAGCCCCTGGTCCGGGCCTCTGTGTCCCGGCCCCCATGTCCCCACCCCTGTGTCCCGGCCCCCGTGTCCCCGCCCCTGTGTCCCCGCATCTGTGTCCCAGCCTGTGGTCCAGGCCCCTTTGTCCCCACCCCTGTGTCCTGGCCCCTGTGTCCAGTCCCTGTGTCCCCGCCCCTGTGTCCCCGCCCCTGGTCTGGGCCCCTGTGTCTGGCCCCTGTGTCTGGCCCCTGTGTCCCCGCCCCTGTGTCCCAGCCCCTGGTCCGGGCCCCGTGTCCCGGCCCCCATGTCCCCGCCCCTGTGTCCCAGCCCCTGTGTCTCCGCCCCTGTGTCCTCGCCCCTTTGTCCTGTCCCCTGTGTCCCCGCCCCTGTGTCCTCGTCCCTGTGTCCCGGCCCCTGTGTCCCTGCCCCTGTGTCCCAGCCCCCGGTGCCGTGGGCGGGGAGGTGGGCAAAGGAGCTTATCCCTCTGGGGCCGGAGCGATGGAGCTGCAGCTCAGTCTGGCATCACAGGGATAGTTCACACTGATAGGTCCTCAGCGGGCATAGCCGTGCTGTCAGTTCTGCCTGCATCGTTCATAAAAAGTAAATGTGCTGTGAGCACTGGGCTAGGTCTGCATGCCGGGCCTGGGAGGTGACCTGAAGGAGTGAAATCAGAGAAAAGTCTCGGGGGAATGAATATTCCCTGTGCCCCCATTCACGGGTCATTCACCCCGAACTTCAGAAAGAACAGCAATTTCCTGAAAGACATGAGCGAGGCCTGGTTAGGCTCTCGCCCCAGCGTGCCAGGGCTCAGCTGGTGAGACTGTCGCCCCAGCGTGCCAGGGCTGTGGCTGAGCACCCAGCGGGCACTCAGAGGCATGCACATCAATAAGCGGACAGCACATCAATGACTCTCTCAAAACCCGTCAACAAAAAGGTTTAAAAGACGTAAACCCACGCCTGGCTGGTGGTTGGGTGGCTGAGCATCATCCATGCACCAAACGTTTCAGATTCAGTCCCGGTTGGAATGCGTACAGGAGGCAACCAATCCATAGTTCCCTCTCACTTCAGTGTTCTCCCGTCTTCCTCTCTCTCTAAAAATCAACAAATACATTCTTGTCTGAGGAGTGGAAAAAGAAGACATAACCTCACAAAGAGAACAAGAGGGATGGGGTGCCCCTGCATTTCAGATGTCTGATACAGAGACTCAGCCTGATTCACAGACCGCGTCCTCCACCCTCGCTGCAAATGGCAGCAATGCAATGGCGGGGCTTAAAGAAAGCGCGTGCCTGACTGCTTCTCTGACTGCAAAGAGCTCCCAGGCCCGCCACCGCCGCCATAGGCAGGGGAGTCAGCAGTCAGTGTGGAAGGGAGCCCGTGGCCAGTGGAGCCGGCCCGGCGAGCTCGGTGCCCGGCGTGCAGGGACTTGCCTAACGCGCCATCCTCCCCTGAAACCGGGGCGAGACGGCAGCGTCTCCCAGGCCGCGGTGAGGGCTCACCAGGCCCCGACACCGGCGCCGAGCAGCTGGCGACGCACGGGGACAGAGCGGTCGGGGCGACCTGGTCAGTGAGCCCGTCTCCGCCCGCCAGCAGACTCCGCGCCCACCGGCTGCGGCTGAGGCGCCGCCTCTGTGGTCCCCTCCGCTCCTCCTGCATCGGGCTTCCAACGGGACTGGCACCCCTGCTTCTCCCGGGCGGTGCGGGAGCCCGGGGCTCTGCTTACCCCGCAGGGTAGAATGTTCCAGAAGTGACCAGTCACAGAACACCCAACCAGCCGTGGCCGGCGTGACAATGAGGTGCCCAGGAGGTCAGGCTCGTGCCCGGGGCTCTGAGGCACTTCCTCCGGAGTTAGAGAGTCAGGACAACACCCGCTCCTGTCCATCTCCCCTTGCCTTTCCCCTCGGAGGCCCGGCCCCAGCCTCCGCCACCGCCTCCTGGGGGCCGGAGCCGGCGCTGCGCTGAGGTTACTGGTCCTCCTGGAGCTCCGGCACTGGAGCAATGGGGTGGCAGGCCAGAGGGGGCGCTGCGGCAGCCTGGGGGTGAAGGGTTCTGAGGCCCAGCTTGTGGTGAGAGGATGGACCATTCGGGGAGGCAGGGGGGCAGGGGCAGGTGGTGGACCACTGGCCACGCTGGGCCTGGTGCGAGAGCCAGAGCCCGCCTCTTCCTGAGCTCCGGGCGCTGGGCCCATGGACGGAGCGCCCAGGCCCCTCTGCCCCAGATGCACCCCGGGCACTCCCCATAGTGCTGTCACGTGACCGTTTCCCAGAGTGCCCCAGGGCCAGGGAGGGGAGACTCGGGGACTCGGGCCCTCTGGTTCCCGGGGCCCCAAAGCCAGCGCAGGGCTGTCCGGCAGGGCTGTCTGACGGAGAAATGAGCCTCTGGACACAAAGGGGGCTTTGTCAGTGATGGGGACAGTGACCCTCAGAGATGTTCTTTATGGGGTCACATGGCTGACAGGCACAGGCCATTCCGCTGCCACCCTGGCCTCCCCACCCCTGGCCCCCCACCCCTGGCCCCTGCCCCTGGCCCCCTGGCCCTGGCCCCTGCCCCTGGCCCCCCACCCAGGCCCGATTCTCCTTTGTTCTCACATCAACTAACAGTGTTTCTGTTTCTCTCCTGGCTTCTCTTCTCCTGAGGCAGGTCCTGGTGTCCCCATGGTGACTGTGCACAACACCACAGACAGGAAAAGTAAGTCCTTCCCTTTCCTCACGTCTCCCCGCGGGGCCGGGGGAGGGGAGCAGCCGTCTCCCCACATAAACCACGCGGTGTCCTATTCGGAGCCAGAGATGGCGGGCCCTCACTGCTCCCAATGCCCCCCAACACCGGGATCACTAAGTGTGCTGGGAAGGCTGGGAGGCCTCACACCACCCCTCACCCCACCCCACCCCTCACCCCTCACCCCACACCACCCCATCACCCCTCACCCCACACCACCCCTCACCCCACCCCACCCCTCACCCCTCACCCCACACCACCCCATCACCCCTCACCCCACACCACCCCTCACCCCACCCCACCCCTCACCCCTCACCCCACACCCTACACCACACCCCACACACCCCACATCACACACCCCACTCCACCTCTCACCCCTCACCACACACCACCCCTCACCCCACACACCACCCCCTCACCCCACCCCACCCCTCACCCCTCACCCCACACTATCCCTCACCCCTCACCCCACACCACCCCTCACCCCTCACCCCACACACCACCCCCTCACCCCTCACCCCACACCCTACACCACACCCCACACACCCCACATCACACACCCCACACCACCCCTCACCCCACACACCACCCCCTCACCCCACCCCACCCCTCACCCCTCACCCCTCACCCCACACTATCCCTCACCCCTCACCCCACACTATCCCTCTCCCCTCACCCCACACCACCCCTCACCCCTCACCCCACACACCACCCCCTCACCCCACACCACCCCTCACCCCTCACTCCACACCATCCCTCACCCCTCACCCCTCACCCCACACACCACCCCCTCACCCACACCATCCCTCACCCCTCACCCCACACCACTCCCCTCACTCCACCCCACACCATCCCTCACCCCACATACCACCCCCTCACCCTTCACCCCACACCATCCCTCACCCCTCACCCCAGACCACTCCCTCACCCCACACATCTCCCTCACCCTGCACCATCCCCCTCACCCCACCCCACACCACCCCTCACCCCTCACCCCACACCCTACACCACACACCCCACATCACACACCCCACCCCACACCAACCCCCCTAACCCTCACCCACACCCCACACTACCCACTCCACACCATGCACCCACGCGTGCCAGGGCCTGGAGGCCACAGCAGGCCACGCAGTGCCTCATGCCAGCCTCTGAGCTCCCGCCTGCTCTGTCGGCCCTCGGTGAGTTCCCTGGAGGCGGTGGCACCTGGGGCTGCCCTGTCCTGGAGGGGTGTCTCCGGAGGAGGGCACGGCAGAGGGCGCTGTGGGGCTCCGAGCGCATCACCTGGCAGAGGGACCGGTGAGAATTTGCCACCCGCAGCCCTGGCGGTTCAGGGGGACGGCGCCGCCGGGCCTGGCTGCAGCCCGCGCCGAGGCCTGGGCGGACGGGAGGAAGGACGGGAGGAAGGGCAGGCGGAAAGCCAGGACGACGCCCGGGCCTCGTGAGGCTGGGAGCAGCTGGTCCTTCCGTGCCTGAGACCTGCACCAGGGGCGGCCTCTGAGCAGGAGGGGGAGGAGGGGAGGGGAGCGGAGGGAGGAGAGGCGGGAGGGAGGGCTGGGCGGTGCACACCTGCCGCAGGGTGAGGGGCTGTGGGCCCCGTGGCCGGAGCCACCTCGGGGCTGAGGCGGACAGAAAGCTGCAGCCTCTCCCAGGCCGGTGCCGGGCCGTCGGAGCTGCCAGGCTCTCAGGGGCTGAGGCCGTGGTGTGTCCTTCACTGTTTTGTTTTGTTTTTAGGTTTTATTCATTTCAGAGCGGGAGGGAGAGGGAGGGAGAGGGAGAGAGAAACATCCATGATGAGAGGACGTCGTGGACTGGCTGCCTCCTGCACGCCCCCCACTAGGGACGGAACCCATAACCTGGGTCTGCGCCCCGACGGGAATCGAACTGCGACCTCCTGGCTCCTAGCTCGATGCGCAGCCGCTGCGCCAACCGGCCGGCTGTGCTTTACGTGTTAATCAGTTCACCCCCATGGCTGTCGCACCCATTTTCCAGCCAAGAACACTGAGGCGGAGGCTCTGGGCACGCAGCCACAGAGGGGTGGCGTCGGGAGCCCAGGGCAGAGCCTGCCCCTTCTCCCTGGGGTTCAGCGGCCAGCGGGGCCTCCCTGAGCTGGCCGAGCCCCCGCCCCTCCCCGCCCTCAGATGCCTCCTCCCAGCGCCAGCCCACAGGCCGGCCCGGGCACGGCCTCGCCCCCACCCCACCCCCTGTCTGAGGAGCCCGCTGCCAGGACGGAGGCTCCGCTCTGGATGGACTCTGTCTGCCTCCGCGTCCAGGCCGGCGGGAAGCTGAGGGCAGGGACTGCGCCTCCCACAGCCCCTCTGCTGGCCATTCAGCCCGAGCGGCTGCCACGCCCCGTGGGCCTGGCGTCACACACGGGATCATGCGTGTGGTCCTAACCACAGCGTCCCCCAGGCCGCGTCTCCACGACTCACCGCCAGCACAGGGCCCGGAGCCCGGACCTCCCCCCCCTTACCCCTCGGGACGGGGCGCGGCCTCACGTGGTGGCCACCTGAGTGAGGTGCTCACACCACAGCCCACAGGGCCAGGCAAACACTACGTGTCCCCAAGCCGCGCCGAGCCCTCCCCTGTGTCGGACAGGACGGGTGAGCACAGCAGGCGCATGAGGAAGCCACCAAACAGCCGCCGACCTGGGCTCGGGAGAGGCCCACACAGAGGCGACCCTGCACACTCGGAGTGACCTCTGCACCACACTGACACCCACACCAGGCACACACACTGGGCACATGTACACACACACCAGCCACATGTATACACACACCGGGCACACACCGGGCACATGTACACACACACCGGGCACATATACACACACACACCGGTACAAATGGGGCACCTGTGCACACACACCAGCACATGTACACATACACCAGGCACACACTGGGCATATGTACACACACACCGGGCACACACCAGGCATACACCGGGCACATGTACACACACACCGGGCACACGCCAGGCACATGTGCACACATACCAGGCACACACCGGGCACATGTACACACACACCGGGCACATATACACACCAGGTACAAATGGGGCACCTGTGCACACACACCAGCACATGTACACACACACCAGGCACACACTGGGCACATGTACACACAAACCGGGCACACACCGGGCACACACCGGGCACATATACACACCAGGTACAAATGGGGCACCTGTGCACACACACCAGCACATGTACACACACACCAGGCACACACTGGGCACATGTACACACAAACCGGGCACACACCGGGCACACACCGGGCACATATACACACACACCGGGTACAAATGGAGCACCTGTGCACACACACCGGGTACATGTACGCATACACCAGGCACACACTGGGCACATGTACACCCACACCGGGCATACACCGGGCACATCTATACACACACCGGGCACATATACACACACACCGGGCACATATACACACACACCAGGCACACACTGGGCACATGTACACACACACTGGGCACATACCGGACACATGTACACACACACCGGGCACATGTACACACACACCGGGCACACACCGGGCATATGTACACACACACTGGGCACATGTACACACACACCGGGCACACACCAGGCACATACACGCACACACGGGGCACCTGTGCACATACACCGGGCACACACTGGCACCTGTACATACACACCGGCACATGTACACATACTGGGCACCTGCACATTGGGCACCTGCGCACACACACCAGGCACATGTACACACACCTGCACCTATACACACACCGAGCACACATGAGGCACATGTATACACACACTGGGTATACACATTGGGCACACACTGTGGGCACATGTACACACACACACCCTGGGCACATACACACACTGGCACCTGCACACACAGTCCTGCTCCGTCTTCATGCTGAAATGCGGGAGCCGAGGAGGCTGCCCTCCTCCCTGCCCGTCAGTTGCTGTTGGCTTTCAGATGATTCCAGCCACTAATTTCCCCAAATTCAGCCTCGTATCGTTTCTCAGTGCCCGAACCAACGAGGTCTGGAAAAGCCTGGGGCCCACCACATCTGCCGCTGGCACCGCTGGGCACAACCAGGGAAGCAACCTGGGGAGCAGTCTTTGTTCCTCTGCATCTGATAGCAGCTAATTCCCCCAAATGTCAGCGGCAGCTCACTTTTAATTAAGGAGCGGCCACTCGCTCGCCGCAGACTGGAGGTGCCCCGGCCCCCAGTCAAAGCGGAGTCCTCCGGGGCACATGCCAATCTTCCTCATTTCCTCCGCCGAGCCCGGCCTCTGTGAATGCAATTACGGGGACAAATAGCACGGCTTAGCTCCCTCCCGGAGGGACACCGGCTCTCTGCTGATAAAGCCAGCTGTGTGGGCAGCCATTAAACGAGGAATCTGATATTTAACTAAATTTAATAGCCTGCTGCCGCGGTGCCTTTCCGGGAAGGTGGGATTTCAGGGCAGGAAAAGCCACGCCAACGCAGGCCATGCATCCACACTATCAGCCCGCGGTGCTCCCCACGCCACGGCTCCGGGAACGGTGCTCCCCCCACCCACAGCCCGGGGCGGCAGACGTGGTTTGGTGGCAGGTCAGGGTTCACATGAACTCCAGGCCAGCTGGAGGGTGGCCTTTCTCCTCCAGGGTCGGCGTTGGAGAGGTGGGAGGTCAGCAAATTCACATGCACACGAGCAGAGAGAAGCGCGCAGTCTGAAGCTGGGGCAGTTCTATCCAAGCCTCTGTTGTTGTTAGTCCTCATGAGGGGTGTTTTCCCACTGATCTGTGGAGAGAGTGGAAGGGAGGGGAGAGACATCGAGGTGAGAGAGACACATCCATTGGTTGCCTCCCACCTGGGCCCTGACCAGAGCCGAGATCGAGCCTGCAACCGGGGTAGATGCCATTGGCCAGAATTGAACCTGGGACCCTTCAAACCACGGGCTGATGCTCTACCCACTGAGCCAGAATGGCCAGGGCCTCTTTCATTTGGAAATGTGGCGCCCACATCAGCGGGGCCACCGGCCACTTCCCCGAAGGGACGGCATCTCCGTTGCTGTAGAGATGTTGTGCCTGTGTCCCTGCTAACCCACTCATTGCCCTGAGTTCCCATTTCTCTCGTGTGATGGCACCCAGGTCCCTTTGTTGTCACACCTGGTCCACGTCAGGCAGAGAGGTCAGGACCGCAGGGCTGGGGAGGCTGAGGCTTCGGGTGCCTTTGAAGACCCAGAGTGCCCCTTGTTCCTTCTTGTTATTAATCCTCACCTGAGGATACTTTTCTCATTGATTTTTTTTTTTTAAGAGAGAGCAGAAAGGAGATGAGTGGGGGGGGGGGGAGAGAGAGAAAGAGAGAGAGAGAGAGGGAGAGAGAGAGAGAGAGAAGATGGAGAGGGAGAGAAACATCTATGTGAGAGAGACACATTGGTTGGTTGCCTCCTACAATGCCCCAACCAGAGCAGTGATTGAACCTACAATCCAGGTACGTGCCCTTGACCAGGAATCAAACCTGTGACTCTTGAGTGAGTGGACAAACACTCTGACCACTGAGCACCACCGGCCATGGCAGTGCCTATTCACTGTAACACAGTGTGTGCTGTTAATCTTTAAGACGTTCGTGAAGGTTTCAATGTGATTTGATGAGCCCAACATAGAGTCCCTTAAAGATAAAATTCCTTTCATAATGAACCATAGACTGCCCCCATGGAGGCTGGATGTGAGAAAAAAGAGGAAGTTGGACCTTTTTTGTTACCTGTCAGATGGTGAAATAAGGTGAAAAAGCCCTTTCAGTGGGAGAGTAATGAAGTGGGTGGGTGAGGGGCATTCTTCACCCCAGAAGCAGGCACTGGGGGCATCTGTGTGCTGTACAGCCTAGGAGACAGCCTCCGCGCAGCCAGGGGAGAGGGAGGGTAAGGGTGAGGGCGAGGGCGAGGGTCAGGCTGACACCTGACATGCTTATTCATGCTGAGGCCCCAAAGTCCGATAACCTTATGATTAAGGTAAGAAATATGATTCAAGTTATCCTAGAAAATGCAATAAAGGTCGCATCCCTGTTCTCCTTTCCTCCCTGGGACACTGTGGCCTCTATATTTGCAGAACCATTTGTACTAACACACACCAAACCAGCAGTCTGGAAGTCAAACATCCCGAAACTGAGCGTGTAAGAGGCGCCCACACAGCAGGGAGAGCTTCCATCTGCCCAAGTGCCTGTCTGTCCCGTCAGCGGGCATTGAGTGTCTCGTGTTGTGGGCCTTGGGATAGAATTGTATGGACTGCCTCCAGGACTGGTGTCAGACTCAGCGTGCGGTGCACAGGAAAACCTGTGGCTTCAGTAAATGTTGGCTGAATCTGACTGTATTCTCCCTTCTCTCTTTCAGAAATGTTTGACCTGGAAACAAATGAGCACGTACGGAAGGCTATAAGTGACCGGCAGATGCCCAAAGTGGAATACAAGGAAATCAAGATGGAAGATTACAGTAAGGGCTGCGTCTTTCCCTTTAAAAGGAAAAGCAACATCTGCTCTAAAGCGGCCCCCTAGGCTCCCATGCCCTGTTCCCTGCTGAGATGGATTCTACATAGAGAGACACTCGGTAGTGCAGGGCATTCTGGTACAGAGAGGCCATTTGGTACGGCTCTGTACCCCAGGGCAATATGTTAAAGGAAGTCTAGCCCACCCACATGGATGACATCCATGACTGGTTCAAACTTCCATACAGAACCTGGAGGCCATTCAGATCCAAACTCATGAGAACCCTCAAGTTAACTAGATACGTGCTTTTGTGCTGTTCTTTTATAAGGAAGAAACAAAAAGGTAAAAGAACAGCACAAAAGCATGTATCTAGAAACATCGACCAGCTGCCTCTTGCACACTCCCCACTGGGGATGTGCCCGCAACCAAGGTATATGCCCTTGACCAGAATCAAGCCCGGGACCCTTCAGTCCGCAGGCCAATGCTCTATCCACTGAGCCAAACCGGTCCCGGCAGCTAGACCATTTTAGATTGCTAGTGATGCTGGATACGTGGGTGGATGGATGGATGGATGGATGGATGATGGAAGATGGATAGATGATGGATTGATAAAGATGGATGGATGAATAGGTGATGGAGGATGGATGAATAGGTGATGGAGGATGGATGGATGGATGATGGATTGAGAGGGATGAATGGATGGATGGATGGATGGATGGTGGATGGATGGATGAATAATGTATTGAAAGAAATGGATGGATGAATGGCTGATGGAGAATGGATGGATGGATAGATGATAAATTGATAAAGATGGATGAATGATGGATGGAAGGATGATGGAGGATTGATTGATGGATGGATGATGGTTGGGTTAACAGATAATGAATGAATGGATGATGGACGGATGGATATATAATGAATGGATGGATGATGGATGGATGGATGGATAAATGGATGGATAAATGGATGGATGAATAGGAGGATGGATAAATACACAAGCAAGCAACTCCCACATGTTTGTCCTGACCCCACCCCCAAACCTTCCATGTGTAGCTGCAGACCTCAGGACAGGCCCCCTCACCTGCAGAATCCAGTACAAAATGTACATGCGAGCATTTCACTCATAGTTTATGATGAGGGCAGAACATTAAGCCCACAGCAGGCCTTATGGGCCATGTGTGTCTGCATGGGTAACACGCTGGAAAGCCAGCCAGGTGGACCTCCACGGCCAGACTTCAAACTCCTGACTCACCCCTGCCCACTACTCAGCCAGTGTTTCAGAATCCCCTCACATTCCCTCATACCTGTCACTTCCTGTCGCAGCCTTTGAGGATAGATCGCATCCCTCGGTGAGATTTGCCTTCATCTCCTAAACCCAATGTCCCTTCTCCAATGCAGCCTGCACACTGCTGTCACAGGGACAGTCCCCAAGCCCCCGGCCACTAGCGGCGATGCCATCCCCTCCCCAGAGAGTGCAGAAAAGGCCTTCAGAAGCCAGCTACCAGCCTTCCCTCTCCCTGCCTGGGTTTCACTCACAGGCAAATGGAAGTGAGGATGCCCCAGATTCTGAAAGATTCCGCTCTGCAGACCTGCTATTGTGTGTTCTGTTGTATTGGTTGTATTGTGTTGTGTTAGTTGTATTATGTTGAGTTGTACTGTGTTGAGTTCCGTTGTGTTGTGCCATGTTGTGCTGTACTGTGTTGTGTTGAGTAGAATCGTGTCGTGTTGTGTCATGTGGTGTTGGGTTGTGTTGTGTTGGTTGTATTGTGTTGTGTTATGTTATATTATTGTACTGTGTTATATTGTGTTGTGTTGAGTAGAGTTGTGTTGTATTGGTTGTATTGCATTTGTGTTGAGTTGTGTTGTATTGGTTGTATTGTGTTGTGTTGAGTTGTGTTGTATTGTGTCATGCTGTGCTGTGTTGTGTCATGTTGTGTTGTGTAGAGTTGAGTTGTGTAGAGTTGAGTTGAGTTGTGTTGTGTCGTATCATACTGTGTACATGTGAATTACATGTGTGAAAGGGGAGGGATGGGCACTGCGCCCTGGGGGTGACAATATGTGTTGTGTTGGGTTGTGTTGTATTGTGTCGTGTCATGCTGTGCTGTGTTGTGTTGTATTGTGTTGTGTCATGTTGTGTTGTGTCGTGGTGTGCTGTGCTGTGCTGTGCTGTGTGGTGCGGTGTGGTGTTGTGTTGTGTTGCGTTGGTTGTGTTTGTTCATTGGAGGCTGCAGCTTTCCTCCAAGCAGAGTGCCTTCTGGAAAGACAGGAAAGCCAGCTGCCAGTCCTGGCCAGCTCGGCCTTGGGGCTTATCACTGGTGGCAGGGAGCAGCCCAGACCATGTTTTATGGATATTTCAGCGATAAAGTCAGAGCCTGCCTTTGTGCATCCCGGGGCCATTGACCCAATTTGCAAGCCATTAGCATTCAGTCAGAATCGGGAATGAGACCTGGTCAGAGGGCTCCCCAGTGGGAGGAGGGGTGTCCTAGAGAAATTCAGCTGGGAAAGCTGCTAATTCTGATTTAATTGGTAATCTGGGTTGTCGTTAAATCAGTAAACAAGTTCTGTTGGGAGGGAAGTTTGGGGGGGACGGAAGAAACTGGTGAGGAAAACCCACCCGGCACACGTCCACACTGCCAAGGACAGTTCTTGGTGGCCCTGCACCAGCCCCTCCCGTGGTGTGTGGAGGGGTCCGAGCCCACAGGAGGCACCTGCCCAGCGCCAGCCTGTGCACAGCAAGGGGGCAGAGCCCTGGTTCTGCACAGAGTCCCGGGGTCTCCGTCACCCCTCTGGCTTCCCCCGGCCTCACACCTGCCCCTCCATTCCTTCCTCCTCACTAATGGCACTTGCAGCTGCCCCAAGTCCCACCCCTCCCGGCCTGGGGCCTCTGTGAGCAGAGAGAGCCAGTCTTGCCGTGGCCCAGTTCATTCTAATGGAGACACTGAGCCTCAGAGATGTTGGGCGACTTGCCCAAGACGATACAGGGAACCCCAAGCCACCTGGTCCCTTCCCCCTGGTCACGCGGCCCTGACCCTCTGCCTGTGTTCTGTGTCTGCCAGGCCTGTCCATGCAGATCCTCAAGCCCGCGACCTTCACGGAGACCATGCACTACCCGCTGCTCCTGGTGGTGTGAGTACGCCTCTCCTCCGGCGCTCTGGGGACTGGGTGACCCCGGGAAAGGCTGAGCTCTTAACCTGAGGCCGGGAAGGAGGCGCTGTTGCAAAGTAAAAGTTTAGGTCAGCCTTCAGCCCCCGCCAGCTCCTCTCCGGTGACCCCTCGCCTCAAAGGGCCGCGGGCTCGCTGGCCCCCGCAGTGTCACAGGCAAGCAGGTCTGAGCCCGTCGGCGGCTGCTGTGGTACCATCAGGCTCAGGCAGGGTGCAGATCTGATGGCAGGTCAGGGGGCTCCGAGCCCCCGGGAGTTCTCGTAACGCAGGCACTGTCCACGCCACCCACTGGCTAGCGGTAATTTCCAGCCACAAAACTGCCATGAACCCGTGCATTTGCCAACAGAGACTTATTTCAGACACGCTGGGCTCCCAGCAGGCCCTGGTCCAGGTGCAAGAGCAGCTGGGTGAGGTCTGCCCTCTCGGAGGGCGGAGTCTGATCAGGTCCTGCCTGGGTGCCACGTGCCACATGCCACGTGCCACGTGCTGGGTGTGGCAGTGCCACTCGCTGCAGGGAAGCACTCCTCACGTCAGCACATCTCTACGCCCCCCACCCCACCCCACCCGGCCTGCCTGTGGGGAGCCAGCAGGCTCTCTTGGGAGGGTCAGCATGGGGCAGCCCTAGGGTGTCCAGGGACCACACCTCACAAGTGTCGGGGAGGCCGAGGAGCGGTCACCTGGCCCAGCTCCTTCCTGGGTCAGGGCGCTCACCCAACAGGAATGAAAGGCGGGGCCAGATGGCTGCCAGCGAGTCCCAACCTGTTCCCTGCGCCCTGACTACAGCACACACATATACATAGCATACACCACACACCACACACCACACAGACACACAGCACACACAGACACACAGCACACAGCAC